AGATAAGTATAATTTTTAAAAAAAGGCGTATTGTTTTAGTCATTCCATTTAAATATTTGTGAATACATATGTACATCTTTCCAATAGCTTTTGACATTTACTATTTTATACCACTGTACTCTACGGAGTTATCATATATATACAGCAATCGGCTACAAAAAAAAAAGCAGAAGGACTTGGTACTTTTAAATAAAATGAAGTTCCTTCTACTTTTCATAGCTTTTATTCAAGGGGTTACTCTGATATCAGGTGAAAATGGTCTATACTATTATGATAGACCAAGTGGGTCCGTCAGTGATCCATATCCAACCGCATTCGAAGAAGATTATGATGGTGGAATTACTTTTTTGGCTTTTGGTGATTGGGGACAAAAAGGACCTGGCACCGGTCAACCCCAAGTTGCCTCTGCAATGAAAACTTGGGCCGATGCCAATAAAACTACTTTTGTTTTAAGTCTCGGAGGTAAGTCTAAAGAAAATCGTTCATTTTTACTTGAATTTTTAGCGTTTATTTTCAAATATAGAATAATAATACATCTTTTTTCATATGCATCTTATTTCCACCCCTACCCGCAATTATTTTTTTACTAGATAATTATTATCAAACGAATAACTCCCTTCCAGTCACGGATCCTAATGATCACGAAGGTGTATTAAATATAACTGATCCAAAATGGAAAACATGTTGGCTGGATGTATATGGGGGGTAGATTGAATGAAACGATATGGTATACCATAGCAGGAAACCATGATTGGTACACTAATGTCACCGCTGAAGTAGACTATTTCTGGGATGTTGACTGGAGATTTTTCCTTCCCTCACTTTATTATGTGAGGAAAGTTAAATTTGGTGATGATATATCAGCCGTCTTTATTCATATTGACACAGATCCATTCTATTACAATTACACTAGCTATAATAATAAAAATAATTTAAAACAAACTCTTAATGACTTTAAATTATATACGTCTGAACAAATTAACGATAGATTAAAATGGATCGAAGATCAGTTGATTGATGCACATGATGCAGATTGGATTTTCGTTGTCGGTCACCATCCACTTATTGGCGATTGTCGACTTCAAAATCCCACCTATTATTTAATGTATTTACTTCCTCCTGTATTTACAAAGTATAATGTATCAGCTTATTTCAATGGCCATGCTCATGATCTTTCATATTCGGCTGCCAATTCTACTTCTCCTGTCACTTATTTCGGTTCTGGTGCTGGTGGTGCTTTACTTGGTAGTGGTTGTCCAAATCCAGATTGGACATCCCCTTATACTTTTGGCTTCTTATCTGTTAGCATTCCAGCTGATGGAAAAACTCTGACTTTCGATTTTGTTAATGCAAATTCGACTGATGTTCCTCCCAAGGTTGTCTATTCTGGCCAAATTAAATCTCGTAAAGGATGATAGTGACAATAAAAATAGTTAAAATATAGTTATTACTTGATTTTTACTCCTTGAAATACAATCAAACCTCCCTATAATCACACACTTGGGATACAAAAAATGTGTTATAGAGGTCAAATATATTATATTTAATAATAGGTTGTTTTTTAAAAAATATGCTTATATAGGAGGTGATTATAAAGAGATCTGACTGTATTTATATCAATAATGTTTCCCTATAAGAAATAATACTACAATATATCCTATATTTATGTTTATGTTATATTTATTTTATTTTATTATTCTTATTTATTTGAAAAGTGAAAATTTAATCACTTTCAAATAAATTCATGATAAAAAAATGGTGCTGTTATGAATGAACGAGATTGCACCATTTAAATTGGACCACCATATGTACTTTAATGTTGAAAATATCTAATCTTCTAAACCAGGAGTTACGAATAAACTTACAGCATCAAATATCAAGTTCGAACCGATTTACATTAACCAAAAAACGGATCTATGAATATTGTGTTCACAGATGAACAGTTTTAATTTTTTCATATCATATGCTTGTGAAATAATTAATTCTCTAACCAAAGACTATCTTTAAACATGCCTTTTTAATAATGTTTCGTCATGGTAGATTTCAATATCCCACGGAATTCAGTCCATTTTAAATATGTTTTTTTATATACAGTACCTAAAAATTACAAAAAAAAGTTTATTGTTTTAATAATCCCACGATCACTATATCAAGATCACGGAGGATTAATGAATAATATCCCTGATCCATATGTGAATAAGCGGAAACTTTGTCTCCGTTAATCCCCGGATATTATTATTACTAACACTCCGTGATGACGAGACTTGCATTAAGTAAAATTATCTGTAGTGATATATTATATATATATATATATATAATTATGATAGAATTTGAATTACTTGGTAATAAACTTTTGCATACTTTTTCTATGTCAAAAAATCCAAATTACGACGAATTTAACGGTGAAAATCAATTTATTTAAAAAAAAATCTTATTTAAGAATTTTTGCCGATCGAAACCATAAGTAATATAAGGTCTAGAATCTTTTATTTCTACGTATCTTCACTGTAAAAATCATGGGACATCTTTCTGCAAAATGCTTAAATTCCAAGTAATTAACTATTAATCAAATTTAACTAAATATGATACAACCATTTT